ATCTCAGACTTATTACTTCTTTGTCATATTAAATTAATATACTCCTCAAGGTCTTTAGTATCTCATATCTGGCTTACTACAAGAGACACCAACTATATGTCTTCTGTGTTCCCTTCAATGTGTTTTGCAGCTCCCTGGTTCTTGAAGCTACTAAAACTTGTGCTTATTGCCTAGACACAGGCTTCGGACAACCTGGGTTATGGTGACTATTTTGCTTCCTTCTGTATTTCTACACATTTTCTAATTCTAGGCCATGAGCAGACTGAACAAAATTGGAGATTCCCAAATTGCAATGAAAGGAGTGGAGGCACTTGTGATCATATATATATAGACAAAGACACATACACACAATATATATATTATATATATAATATAGTGTGTGTATATATATAATACACACACACACACACCGCAGTTTGAAGACCACTCAATACACTTGGAGAAACTGGGTGCAATGATTGTGACTGCAATGACTGCGATTGCAATGACAATGCATGAACAATCACCTTAACTGTAGTGGGTTTTCAGAGAGATACATAGTATTCATTCTATGGATACTATAGGTCAGGACTTTGGATTTTTATTTCATTTTATTTTACTATCTCAACACAAATTTGTGTTGTATAGCAAACATACATACTACACAAACTAATTTCCAATGATTCTCTATGTGAAAGGAGTTTTAAACAAAGCGCAGATTCTTAAAAGAATCAAAACCTTTAGTTCTAACAGCTACAACACTAAAGAGAACCATGCAAGGATCCCAAAAAAAGGTAATTTTTGAAGAAGCCAAACTCAAGATCTATTACCAGAAAACATGCACTCTTGTGTTCTTGTACTTCATATATCTGAGGGTTGAGTACTGTCATTCTACCCAAGAAAGACAAAGGGAAGACAAAGAGAGCTCACCTACTCTGATTAAGACCTCTTCACGTTAGCAACTCCTGGCCTGAAAGTTGCCCTAGACATCCGTAACTGCTGAGTAACTAAAACCAAAATTTATTTTGACCACAAGTGACACACGATGTCACAAAACAACAAATCTCTTGAAGGAAGGAAGGAAGGGAGAGAAATCGATCCCTGGCCAGAATTTCAGAGAAAACTTCCAGCTTACCATGAACCATAAAGAAACTTAAAGTTTCACGGTTTTCATGCTAATATCAGGAAGGAGTAATTATTAGATCTCCTTGAACTAACTTTTTACTTTAGGAATTCTTACTATCTCCCATGTCTCTTACCTTATAACTTTTGATGTGTAGTCTGAGGTAACTGCTACTTAATTTTATAAGTAACTTACTTAACTTAGTGATTATCCTTTCCTATAATTTGCCACAGATATTTACACATACTTACACATGATTTCTATTAAACTGCTCCTAAGGTCCATCACATATATTTGCAAGAATATATATGCTTGTCCTACAACCCAGGGTTCTCTGTCTCTCAGATTCTTTTCCAACCCAAAGAAGAGAGATCACCGCCCCATCTCCATGGCTTAAGGCAGCCTGTCTGACAGCTCCATCAGCTGTTTGGTTCAGCAAAGGTTAATGGGTTAGCTTTGGGGTTAGGAGTGGCAAGGAGGTATGGTAGACACGGTGAGAACCCATTCAAATCAAACCCTGCTTCACGGGAGGGAGGAACGAACGCACGCACGCACCACACGCACGCACGCACGCACCGCACGCACGCTGGGGGGCCCTGCCTGCAGACAGCCTCCAGCAGGGAGCTGCTTCAGGTGCACAGCCACCTTGCCCGAGGTCCCACTCCCTTCCAGGTTGGCCAATATCGTTTCAAAAGGATGGAATATAAAGGCCTGCTTTTCTTGGCCCAACTTGGGATAGCTCTGAAGGGCCATTTTAGCCCCAAGGCTCCCTGTGGACCTGGCCAAGGCTGTCACAGCTTAACTTCTTACCTCTGTCCAATTCTCCCTCTTCTCCTTTGTCCCCTACCTCCCACAGGTGCCAATCCTAAAGGCACTCCTTACTAAACACCTTGTATGCTGAACTGCCTCCAGAGGAATCCAACCCGCAACAGGCCAAGTGCGCTGAGCCTTCACTTTCCTACAATAAGGATAAATTCCTAGAAGCCAAACGACCATTCACATGATAGAAATTGTTGCTAAAAATTAAAACTCTTCAAACAAAGTAGGAACCAGAAAGGTTTTTAAAAATTGTTTTAGAAAGGCTTTTTCCGGGGCGCCTGGGTGGCTCAGTCGGTTAAGTGTCTGACTTCAGCTCAGGTCATGATCTCACGGTTCGTGGGTTCAAGCCCGCGTCGGGCTCTGTGCTGACAGCCAGCTCAGAGCCTGGAGCCTGTTTCAGATTCTGTGTCTCCCTCTGTCTCTGACCCTCCCCTGTTCATGCTTTCTCGCTTGCTCGCTCTCGCGCTCTCTCTCTCTCTCTCTCAGAAATAAATAAAAAAAATAAAAGAATTTTCTTCTTCAAATTCATCAGACAGGACAGAAAATATTTTTTAATGAATAAATCTGTAACAGTAATGATAATCAAAGTATACTGCCTGCAGATCAGAAATGTTTAGGAAATCCTGTAAGACAGAAAGCAAGATGGGGTCAGAATGACAAATAAGGACAGAAAAATACAGTCCAAAATGTACACAAAAGAGATTCTCCCACTCCGCACTGCAGAAGTAGAGGCAGTTTTTCACAAGGATCCCCAAGCTCAGAAAATGCTACACGAAGAAGAGGACTCGGACTGCAATTAAAGAACTATCTTCAGAATAACAGGACCAGTAAGTCGCCCACATACATCTACCTGAGTAGCTTATTCAACATGTTCATCGCGTGGTTTATGTTTACTCTGGAAAAGGTTCTGGTTTATAATCTGTTCTCCAAAATTAAATGTCTATTTGGCTGGGGCTGGAGCTTCTCCTCTTGCACTGGGCAGGAAAGAGGAGAAGGCAGCAAGCAGCCTGAGGTAACAAATGTCTCCATAAACTGGCGGTGGTAGTTATGGGGTATGGAGACAGGCTCTAGTTCTGGACTTACAGGAAGACAGCGAAGCGTGGACAGAAAGAATTCAACAATTAGTATGTAAAAAGGATTTTTTTTAAACTCTTGGAAATGTGGTCAATAAAGACTCAGGGAGGATTAAGAAAACATCATGTTAACAGAAGCCATCAGATTAAAATATTAAAATATACTAAAATACACAAAAATATACCTCTGCATCCATTCTCACCGCCCTCTTCTTCCTATTACAAATATCTGACCTAATGCCTGGCTACCAATGGCCAGTTCATCCACGTGACAGTATATGGGTCTCAGAGTACCTCTTTGCGAGGAGTTAAAATCCTTAAAGGTTATCATTCTCTTTCTCCCATCTTATTAGATTACTCCTGCCAGCTAGTTTGCCAACAGTCAAGTTGCCACATGCCCCCACCTCACCTCCCAAAAAAGAAAAAAAAAAAGACAAAAAAAAAAAAACCAACTCTCCAAAACTAATATCCCTAGACTCCTCATTACCTTCAGAGCCAAATTATGTTATCAATGGAAAATACAGCTAAATTCATAGATTAATAAAATTTTAAAAGCTACTATATATATGTATACATGTATATATGTATATATATATAGACATATACATATATACGTATATGTATATATACACATATACATATAGATATATGACAACCAAGCAGCAAGAACCTCTCTGTCCAATCCTCCATATACAAACATAATTTTCAAGTCTAGGTCTGTTTACGTGCTTTCAAATTAGCATGTTCTCCAAGTAAAAGACATAGCATTAAAAATTTGTATTATACAGGATTTGTCTCTTTTGTAAAACAGTTTCCTTTAAATAAGTTACTAGCCTTAATTAAAATAAAAACCTAGAGTGTTTAATAATTACTAATACCTATTATCCTGAAGACATTTTGCTAAGTATTAACCAGTTTCACACGGCAATCCCCAAACACCTCTAGCTCTTGCTTCTCAGATTAGAAGACCAAAGCTCAGGGATATATATAATATATATTATATATATCATCTGTGAATGATAGTGCCGCTGTAAACAATAGAGATGAGCTGGGAAACAAGCCTAACTTCAAACCCCAGACATTACACCTGTGTCAAATAAAAACTGCACATTCATTACGAAAGTGTTCACTTGACTGACTACAAAAGCGGCACAACAAAACACCAATACTAAACAGCAGTGGCCCTTCACTCTAGCCCTGCGACCTGCCAGATGTCCTGCCCAGTAAATACATGCTATGTGTACCTGTTCCGCATCCACATTGTTTACTATCATCAGAAGATTAAAACATTCCTGTTTCTAAGGATACAATTTTTCTTTGCTATGGGCTCTGCCTTTGGTGTTGGGGGAGTAGGAGGCAGTTGGGGGTGCTTTATCTTCCGAAGTGAGTAATGTCTGCCTCAGCAGCATGGTACTATAAAAAGGGCATTATCTCGGGGGGGCTGCCTTCAGTTATTTAACTCATTTCTTACAGGAAAACAAATTTCAAATGAATAAAAAATGTGTTCTCTCCAGTGCTCAAGCTCCTATGTGATCACCTCTCTGTGTTACTTACCTTAACAATAACATGACTACAGATCAGATTTTCATTTAACTATTTTCTAGCTAAAATGGAAGTTTTATAGCCAGGATAAAGAAGAGAAATAGAGTCTCTGTTACTTCTCCAAAGTGTCCATCAAAATGGCTCACTTTCTACTACAGCAGAAACTTTAAAGGGCAGGGATTTTTTCCCAGAACAGAACGGCAGTGCACCTGTAGGTGGTTATCAGTTTAACTGGTCAACTTATTGATGATTTACATAGAGTTACATGAACTTTTCACATTTCTTCCCACCCCTTTCTTCTTTCTCATTGTTTAGGATGTTCGGAGGCTTACAATTTCTAAAAAGTAAAAATGGCCGTATGTTCAGTAGAGCATAAACAATTACAATTATTTTAAGTGTGTGTGTGTGTGTGTGTGTGTGTGTGTGTGTGTATCAAACAGTAATTAACAAGGGAAAAACATTACCTTTTGGATAATCTTCCAATAAGAGGTTGAAGTGACCTAATTGACAAAAGAAATCAGACTCCACTTTTCCTTCAGCTTTTAAGATTAGAGATTCGTAGCAGCGAACAGCCTAGAAATAAAAAATACAAACATTTAAGAACAAAGAAAAACCCTAAAGTGCATTTTCTTCCTGAGATAATGCATACATCCTCCATTCAATCACCCAAGAAATCAATGTATTTCACTTCTACCTCAGTCAATGCAGCATTCTTGAGATACCTAAGTATTTATTAGAAGAGCCACTAGTTATGGCATAAACACTTTTCTTACCTATAAAATAGAAACAGTTGTGAAATAAGAAGCACTTTGATAACTTTAGTCATAAGTTGTAAATCAATTATTACTGTGGTCCTTGTCACTTTATAAACAAATAATATCCATCTTTCCCACAGATGGAAAGAACTTTATTCAATTATGAGAAGTCGCAGAATCTCCAGAGTAACAATAGCTACCATTAACACTGAACAGCTTTCTGTCATCACCTCTATCAGTGTAAACTACCATAAGCTGCCTTTCCAATGTCTTCTCATGATATAGTTCAAACCCACTCCAACTCTAGTCTTTCATTTTATTCTCACTCAAATACACGCGTATGTATTCACTCTCACAATTTCTTCAAATAAAAAAAAATAACATACTATTTTAAGGATATCTTTTTTGGGGGGACGGGGGGCTAATAAAGAAGACTGCAGGAGAAAATGAACAATGGAAAGAACAGACTTCTGGAATCCTGACAAATTCCAGTTGTCATTAGCTAGAGGAGATTCTGGGGAATTTCTCTCTGACTCTCAGTTTTAGTAACAGTCAGAGGGCTGACAAAAAGATTCAAATTAGAAAACTTCACTAAGGGTTTATCACAGTGCTTAGCACTCCATAGGTACTTATTAATTTCTTTACTTTCTCCCCAGATAAGTAAAAAGCTCTCTTTCAAGGCTGTTTCAAGCTTTCCAACATTCTGTCAAAATTGCCCTAACGATTTACCCTACAATGTTATGTGCCATAATGTGTTCTGCAATCACTAAAGAAAGAAAGGTGTATGATTTCTCAAATCTCTGCGTACATTCCCCGGTTTGGTACCCACAGAGAAAGAACTAGAACAGCTTCTGTTACCAAAAAATCCTTTCACTACCACTTCAAGAGCATTTGCTGGGATACAAAAAATGTGATGTGGGGCAAAGTACCCACCTAAAATCTCTAGATTTTTCCTCTCCTGTAAAATATAGGGCCTTTGATGGAGAGTTTCAAAATGTCTATCCTAAATTTACCTATGCAAACGACACACATGAACGCCCATCAAGTTTGGAGAAGCCATCCGAAACAAGGCAAATTCTGGGATGACTCTACTATCCTTCAAGCCTAACATTTACAAAAGGACTGTCTTCATTTCTTATTCCACTCTTAGCTATCTGCATGTGCGTATGTACCAAATCACAATCACTAAAAACTAATCATTCTGCTTCCCTATAATTAAAAGACTCTGAATGCTACGCTGAAGTCTCAGAAATTACTATAATTTGGAGGCATGAAATTTCAAGATCCTCTTTATTTAAGTCATATATAATCCTATCTGGCAGATGGTTAAGAGTACAAAAATGTAATTTATTTCAGTACTTTTTAATATCAGAAAAATTCATAAAATTATTGGGCTACACTATGACAATTCTTAATTTTACATTAAATGAGTGACTTTAAAGTGAATAATAACTGTAAATACAGCACTCATTATAATAGTTATTATCTTTTTTTCTTAAACTCTTGGTAAGATATTTAGAAACTTTTTCTACTCCTCCCTGATAATGTCTTCTGATCAGCATTAAACTTATAGGCAAATATGGTTTCATAGTGAAAAAAGGATTCAAGTTATAAATACGAAGAGTATTTTCTTTAATGATCTAATAAGCAAAAAGATGGCAACACCCTATACTTCCATCCTATCACCCTACTTTGATGTCACTACCATGACCATCTGTTGCCTTATCTTCCACTTCCCATAAACAAAGGAACACATCTGGAATGAATGCCGTACATAGCACTGATCATCATGAAGCATAACACCAGGTACGAGCCAGACTGGACAGACTTTAAATTTGCCTGCCCATACACTCAGGCTTCACTAACAAATTCATAATAACTTCCAATAAAGCCAGCAGGCGCCACCAACAGACAGTGGTGGTCAAAGATGCTGCTGACAGAGCCAAGTATCGAATGAGATGAAAATGAGCAAAAAGTCAGAATAAAGTTTCCATGTGCCTGTGTCACCATTTCATAGTGAAACTTCATGAATTTATTTGACGTGTTTGAGGAAAACCCTGATATTAGATACAGGCAAATACTAACAATGTTTTAAAGCTTAAAGGAAAATAACTGGGGATAATTTCCAATACTCCTAACTCATACAATAATCTAGAATGAAACAGTATTTTTATAACATTTTTAGTCAAAAGGCTAATTACAGACATAGAAGATATAGAGATAGTTGAGATTTGGAATAAAGTTTAAACCGCCATAAAGCAAAAATATTTCCTGTTAAAATACTTGCTTTTATATTCTTGCTCTTTTTACTTGAAGTGTACACACGTAAAATCATCCCCATACAATGTACACAGGGATAAAAGGGCTAGAATATAAAACAAATGTTAAAAATACGAAGTCATACAGAAACTTTGTTCTTTCTACTTCTGTTTTCTAGATTTTTCATAATTAACCTATACCATTTCTATTCCTATAAAAATCATTAAAAAATTATTACGCTTTCCTCAAGGATTCAACCTACCTTTAATGTGAGGATAGTTAGAAATTGTAATGAAAATCATTTGCATCTAGATCAGCATCATTCAGTAGCGCGCTTTCTACGATGATGAAAATGTTCTATAGTCTGTCCTGCCCAGTATACTATCCACTGGGCACCTGTGGCTATTGAGCACTTGAAACATGGCTAGTAGAAGTCAACAAGTGAATTTTTAAATTATACAATTTTAATGTTTATTTATATTTAAATAGATATGTGGCTAATGGACAGTGTACAGCTAGATGATTTTTAAAGCTTAGAAACAAGTGAATATTTGATCTATATGCTAAATAGTAAGAAAGTAAAATTTCTCATGTTCATAAATGAAAAGCCTGCAAAAATAATGGAGTATCTAACGCTGGGGATGAATAATGTCTTTCACAAAAATCTTTTACATCCTTTGGTTTCTTCTAGTTAGTGGCTTACACATCCATAATCCTTATCACCTACTGTAAAAAAACAGTGAGAATGAAAATAAAGTTAATTGTTAAATACTAGCATCAAGGAAGAGTAAACTAAGATCCTCCCAGCTAGGTAGAGAATTTCAGGATCTTCCTCCCATTACAGTATAATTTTCCACAATGTTCAATATAATTTGTGCTCAGTTATCTGCTTTATTTTTATTATCTGAAAAATCAGTTCTCTCAGAACAGTGATATTATTGCCCTGTATTTCTAAACCTTGACAGTTGAAGTTTAGAGCTCATTAAACACAGGCCGGTAACTAATTTACGTTTTTTTAATGTTAACATTAAAAATGATTAAGAACTACAATCTTATATGATAAACTTGGTCAGGGTCTAGCTAAAATATGACACTTGTTAATATTTTCTTTTTTTTTTTTCTTTTTTACATTTTTTTGAGAGAGAGAAAGACAAGAGTGCAAGCAGGGGAGGGGCAAAGAGGGAGACACAGAGTCCGAAACAGGCTCAGGCTCTGAGCTGTCAGCACAAAGCCTGACGCGGAGTTTGAACTCACAAACCACAAGACCATGACTCAGACACTTAACCCACTGAGCTACCTAAGCGCCCTGACACGTGTTACTATTTTAAAATTGCTAAATATAGGCAACTTTTAAACAAATGATTTTTTTTTTCCAATTTAAAAGATTAGCTAAAGTAGCTGGGACGCACAAATGGTAGAGAAAATTAACGTAGATTTAAATACCCCAATGATTTAAAATGAACCAAAGCTCTCAGGTTGAATATAATAAAGACAAGCATGCAGTCTTGCACAGAAGTCCTAAAAGCCAGCCAGGCATCTACAAGATGGCTCGGCAGCCAGCCAAGTGCTTACAAAAGATTAAGGGATTTAAGCAAACTACAGGTCAACAGGTCATCCATGAAATACGGCTACTAAAAAAGTACTCATGACCCAAATTAATAAAGCATATTATACAAATCAACACCAATAATCAGCTCACCAAGGTCTACCTACTCTGACCAGATCTCTAATGTTATCACCAGTTCTGAGTGCCACATTTCAACAGGGGGTAACCTACAGAGAGCTACAAGTTTGGTGAAGAATGGAGAACTATCGTATGAATATTTTTTAAAACTTTTTTAAAAGTTTATTTATTTCAAGAGAGTGAGAGCAGGGGAGGGAGAGAGAAAGGAGGAGAAAGAGGAAAATCCCAAGCAGGCTTCACACAGTCAGTTGCAGAGCCCGATGCAGGGCTAGAACTGTGAGATCATGACTTGAGCCAAAATCAAGGGTCAGACGCTTAACCCAACTGAGCCACCCAGAAGCCCCTGTCTGAAAAATACTTTAGGTTTAACTGAAGAGAACCATCAGGGATGCTACAGCTTTACTCAAAAATTTAGAAAGCTTTCGATTAGGAAATAAGATTAATCGCACTTTGGGTAGCTCCAGGCATCAAACCAATAAATGGGTATAACTTATAAGAAAGTTTAATCCAGTTCAATCAGAAAAGAGGAAAACTTAAATATGCCAAAAACTAAACGTGCTATCTTTGGCTTATATCAGTGTAAAGAAATAAAGCATAAATTACTAATCTATCTTAGTGAGAGTTAGAAAAGAGACTTCTTACTTTAGATACAATTCAAGACCTGCAAATTTTTAAAAAGATTCCTGGGCTTCTATGATATAAACACGCAAAGTATAATATTATATATAACACACACACACATACACACACACACACACACACGAGTGCATCCCTCCTGAATTAATTGCATGATTAGTTTATTTGATTTGAATTTCCATAATAAATTTCTAAATAAATACAGTATCCTGACATGCTCCCCTCAAGCCCTAAAAATG